GTATTTGCATACTTTGGTGCTTTAATCATTCCGGTATTTAAATATGCTGCCTAAAAATTTAAGGTTCTTTATTTAGTTCTTAATACATGGCTGTTTCTAACAAGGACTGGGAATCACCGAATTCACGAGTTTGATTGGCTGTAATCAATATTGAACGCTTTCTAGATTTTCCCATCTAGACCGGCATCTAGCCAAACAGGAACAAGCCAGTTTTTTCGTATTCTTTGTTTGTAACCTTTTGAAGCTAGGCAACTTTTACAATAAGATCGGTCTAGATGCCGGTCTAGATAGGAAAAGCTAGTAAGGATGGGCCGATACCGACACCAAATATTCGATATCAGCGATACCGAGGGGGGATCGAACAATATCGATACAAGCGAACAGTATCGATTCTTTCGATACTGCACGTGACCTAGCTACCCGCTTTAGTCTCCCGCGGCTAACCGCTGCCGAGTGGCCGAAAAGACTCCTGGCTCGAGATCGTGTATGTGCGCATTTGTGTGCCGTGTAGGATTGCCACTGTACCGGTGTGGCGGTTTCTTCCATTCCTTAGTACAACATTTCACTGTGAAATAGGACCTGATTTTATTAACTACTAATGTAAAATCACTCAGTACAATTTACAACAATCCAGACTTTACAAGGACGAAAATAATGAGTTTCAAACTACTATGCGTGCTTCCTAAAGTAAAACCGCAGGTGAGAAAAGAACTGAGAAAGTTCTAAAGTATGGCACCACTTAATGTTTCTATTTTCAAGGGAGTCTCCGGTGTATCGAGTATTCTTTTGAAGCGCAGGATTTATAATAAGTCGGGCACCCGTGTTTGGTTATTACTGGTGACCGTGTAGTGACTCATAATGAAAACCTTTCATTGTAGCCTTACGATGACGCATGCAATTGAAAGTTGCAGACTTCTTAAAATAATAAGTAGAAAGATTGCATTTTTGCTGTGTTCTTCATTTCCTCGACGAAATTAAATATGAGTCCCAATAAATTAAAACTTTTGACTTGTTTGACTGTCTTGTCAATGCTATGATAGAGCACTGAACAGGAAACCATAAGTAAGTGCCTTCATTTAGGGTTGTGACGAGAGTGGATACTCCAAATCAGGTAGCCGCGAGGAGGTTGGAACCCACTATCTTTCGTATTGATCTCGTATTTCCACATCTACTCATCTACTCATCTACTCACGATCGGAAGCTGATCGGTGGATAGTTCAAAATAATTATTGTTAAAAGTGGACATGCCAAACCTTACGTCACAGATTTCTGCGAATAGCCTCTTAAACATCGTAAAAGTATTCCATGCTTGTGTAGAAAATTTATGTCAAGCGAAGAATTGTTTTGGTTTTGTAGTTAAGGAAATTAATGGTCAATTCTGGAGATGGGAATACATGGGAATACGCGGGAAAACATGGGAATACATGGGAATACGTGGGAATACATGGGAATAACATGGAAATAACATGGAAATACGCGCAAATACATGGGAATACGTGGGAATACATGTGAATACATGGGAATACGTGGGAATACATGTGAATACATGGGAATACATGAGAATACATGGGAATACATGGGAATACATCAGAATACATGCCAATACGTGGGAATACATGGGAATACGTGGGAATAAATGGGAATAACATGGAAATACGTGGCAATTCATGGGAATACGCATCTGGAGTTACTTATCCTCAGCTCACAAGCCAACATCTCGGTGCTGACCTCCAGATCACATCTGCAAACACAATGCAGATCTGAGTTTATTGCTAGCAACACACAACCACCACGCTGATGACATCTATCTCAACGAAATATATTACAGTCTTCAAGGTGGAGTTCACGATCATCAAAATCATTGTTCAACCACGTTTCCGTCAAGGCCACTATGTCAAAAGGGTCAGTTAACAATAAAGTTTTCATGTCAAAAATCTTATTACATACACTCCTCGTTTTTAACAGTAAACACTTGGAGAAGCCACTTGAGGAACGTCCAGCAGAAGCAGCAGTACTAGATGAGCTTAAATTCAGACCAGATTCTGTCGAACAGAACGATTCGAAGAAGGAATGACTGAAATTGAAGGGCCAGCCACAGTTTTAGTCACAAAACCATTGCTCATCAGAATCACCCAAGTCAGTGTAGGTCTTGGGGTCCATCGAGATGCATTTAAGGTGGAACCACTTGTTACAACCATCACAGAGAATACCTTTCTGGTTTGAACGAACAGGTTTCAAGCACACATCACAAGGACATTTCCAAACGGGTTTCTTGCGGACTGTTCTGTAGTTCAGCTGTTTAAAACATGTGCTCTACCAAAACGTGTAAACAATGAACTTTACTCACCTGATTTCATCGCTTGAAAACACTCCCAATCGCTCCAATTCCTCAAGTTCCGGCAACATACCCTCGAGGTTTTGCTGAACGTACTCTGCCATCGTGGACCTTTCGTGCAACTAGAGAAAAAGCTATAAATTTTCGAAGAAAAGTTTCAATACGACAGCACGCTTGATTCGTCCACCATGTGCAATAATAGATACCGCTGATAAGTTTGCGGTGATCATGAACCGACATGAACCCCAAATCGAGACTACCAGGTAGGTAAATGGTGTATGCCATCATATAGTGTATCTAAGACTTTCCTTTGTGTATATACTGTTATCTTAGATATCCTTGCATTCTTCTCACGTATACCAACGTATTCCCATGTATTCCCATGTATTCCCATATATTCCCATGTATTCCCATGTATTCCCACGTATTCTCATGTATTCCCATGTATTTCCATGTTATTCCCATTTATTCCCACGTATTCCCATGTATTCCCACGTATTCCCACGTATTGGCATGTATTCTTATGTATTCCCATGTATTCACATGTATTCCCTCGTATTCCCATGTATTCACATGTATTCCCACGTATTCCCATGTATTTGCACGTATTTCCATGTTATTTCCATGTTATTCCCATGTATTCCCACGTATTCCCACGTATTCCCACGTATTCTTACGTATTCCCGTGTATTCCCACGTATTTCCATGTATTCCCACTTATTCCCATTTATTTCCACGTATTAGAAGTATCTTCCATGTATTGTATTCCCACGGCACATCTTCCCACGTATTTAGAATCATTAATTTAGTGCATTGCTGTGTATTCCCACACTGCTCTGTATTCCCGCATAGTCATTTATGTTCCTACTGGTACTTAGGTATTTGCATACTTTGGTGCTTTAATCATTCCGGTATTTAAATATGCTGCCTAAAAATTTAAGGTTCTTTATTTAGTTCTTAATATATGGCTGTTTCTAACAAGGACTGGGAATCACCGAATTCACGA